GCCTTTCCTCCAAGGATGTCCATATTCTTTTAGTGAGGGAAGGGTTTTTAGAGACCACAGTCTTGGTGCTAGGCATGATTATTGTTAATGGGTACTATTGCTTCTAGCCCTTTCAATAGACAGAACTAGGAAATATATGTAGTTGGGAAAAGAAAGAATTATGAATTTCTACAGATATTTCCAAATCAATTTAACATGTTTTTTAAAAACTTCTTTAGTTTTTTAACTTGCAACTCTTTTTTATACTAAAAATCTCATTTCCTAATGTCATTAATATAAGCATTTGCTTTATCCAATAAACTGTGAAGAATACTTGCAAAATACTAATGCCAATCAATATTAATTTTAATAAAAAAAAGACTATTGTGTGAAGCTTGACTTTTTTTCAGTTCTATTTATCCTTATAATATATTGTATTATGGAAATACAGTCAAAAAGTTGTTAAAGCCATTAAACGCAAAGAGAAAAAAATTGTTTTATGTCATCATCTCAATTTGCAGTTAGGTTTATTTATCTTTAGTTTTCTGAAATTACATTTTTTCTTTTTGATTTAATTTTTTGTATATGTAAATCATACACATGGCTCTAAAATCAAAACTATGTAACAGGTATATTAACAGAAGTCTTATTTCTATCCCTGAATTCTCCATGCTTTTATGAATGACTTTTTATTCATTTTTTGATTTATCTTTCAGTGGTTTTTTTGTTGCTCTTGCTAGTATAAGCAAATATATATGTATATATATATGCATATATATACCCACATATATATCTCCTTCCATTTTTAGTACCCAAGAGGTTGCAACTATGTATTGCAGCTTTCTTTTCTCCTTTAACAATCTCTCCTGGAGACCACAGCATCACAGTTGATAGAGCTCTTCCTACTTATTTTTATAGCTGCATTGTGTTTTTTTTTGGGAGGATGTATCATGATTTGTTTCACCAGTGCTCCTATTGATGCACATTCAGTTTGTTTTCCAATCTTTTGCTATTACAAATCATGCTCCAATGAATAATCTCGTGTATAGTCATTTCATATTTTTGCTAGCATCTTTGGGAACACTAGGTCAGAAGTTAAATATGTAGGTAGTTTTTCTAAATATTGCCAAATTTCCCTCCATAGGTACTGCTCCAATTTGAATTCCCGACAGCAATGCCTGAGAGTGCCTGTTTCTTCACATACCCATCAACATAGTATGTCTTCAAACTTTTGGATTTTTGCCAGTTTGATAGATGAGAAATGGTTTCTCAGTGCAGTTTAGATATGTGTTTCTTTTTCTGTGTTTAAGGGCCATTTTTATTTCTTCTACTGAATTGTCTACTCATATCTTTTGTTATTTTTTCTGTCTGGGTCTTTTTCTTTCTCAATTTTTAACAACTGTTTCTACAATAGGCATATTAGTTTATTGTCTAGGATATAGGTTGCAAACATTTTTTTCCCTATTTGTCATTTATCTTTTGACTTGGCTTATAGTTTAGGGGATATGTAAACTATTTTTAAAAATATCATCCAATTTGTCAGCCTGGATTTCATGTTAGTCTAGAAACAGAGAAAAGAGTCTTTTGTTCTGTGTATTGCAAATGTGTTGTCATAGGTTTTGGGTTTTTTTTTCACTCTTTTAATGGTAACTTTTGATAAGCAGTTCCTATTTTTAGTGTACTGAAACTAACCTGTGTTTCCCCTTATGACTAGTGCTTTTGGAACTCAGTCTAAGAAAACATGTTCTACGATGAAGTCATGAAGATATTTTTCTATATTATGTTCAACAGTCTAAGAATTGTTTGTTACTGTGTTACTCAAACTATGTACGATCTGAGGACCTGTTTTTTGCTGGTCCATGATAAGTATAGAAATTGAGAATAAATGTTTAGAAACTTTTATTGGAATGCACCATTACCATGATATGCAGGTGTGTGACTGGTGGACTCATCTCATTGATAGTTTGGGTGGTGTCAGCCTCACTTGGTGAGTTGCGGGTGGCATAAGCTGCATACCAGTCATATGCAGTAGTAGTACCATGCATGGATCTTTGAAAGTTTAGCACATTAACTTCCATGTGAGTTGTATTTAACTCACGCTAGTTTTGAGCCTGGGGCGTTGTGAAGCACATATAACTCACATGTCTCTTCATCCTGGAGCTGCAAGAACTATTTTTCAAGTTGCATATATCTCACACACAGAAAACAATAAAAAATAACAAATTTTTCATTAAATTGGAAAGGATTATTTTGTTTTTGAAGTTTTTATTCTATTTTTGTTATAAGACACCGTGGCCCCAAGGAAAAAAAGTTTTTTATAGTGTGGCAGTCAGTGTGTTAAATATTAAAAAGAAATTGACTCTTCATTGCAGATAGTGTAAGAGGCACTCTTTATGAAGCTTCTGGCCGGGCGCCGTGGCTCACGCCTGTAATCCTAGCACTCTGGGAGTTTGAGGTGGGAGGATGGCTTGAGTTCAGGAGTTTGAGACCAGTCTGAGCAAGAGAGAGACCCTGTCTCTACCAGAAATAGAAAAATTAGCTGGGCATGATGGTGTGCGCCTGTAATCTCAGCAACTCAGGAGGCTGAGGCAGGAGGATCCCTTGAGCCTAGGAGTTTAAGGTTGCTGTGAGCTAGGCTGATGCCATGGCACAATAGCCCAGGTGACAGAGCAAGACTGTGTCTTAAAAAAAAAAAGAAGCTTAATTGCTTTGCTTCGCTTTTCACATTTAGGTCTATGATCTCCCTGAACTTTATTTTATTTTTTGTGAATAGTATAATGTAGGGATCCAATTTTAATTTTTCCACATGGATGTCCTATTTTTTCAGATTATCTTTGGAAAGACTGTCTTTTCTCACTGTCACTTTCAAGACAAAGTGCTTGCTTTGTCTCGAAGCAAGTGTCCGTACGTGCAGGACCTTGTTCTCTTTTCTTTATTCTGTTTCATTGGTCTTCGGTTTCTCTTTGCATCAGTGCCACATTGTCATAATTCTATAGCTTTAAAATAAGTCTTGATTTTTTTTTTTTTTTTTTTTTTGAGACAGAATCTCACTGTGTTGCCCGGGCTAGACTGCTGTGGCGCCATCCTAGCTCACAGCAACCTCAAACTCCTGGGCTCAAGCGATTCTCCTGCCTCAGCCTCCCGAGTAGCTGGGACTACAGGCATGCGCCACCGTGTCCGGCTAATTTTTTTTTTCTATATATTTTTAGCTGTCCAATTAATTTCTTTCTATTTTTAGTAGAGACGGGGTCTCGCTCTTGCTCAGGCTGGTTTCGAACTCCTGAGCTCAAACAATCCGCCTGCCTCGGCCTCCCAGAGAGCTAGGATTATAGGTGTGAGCCACCGCGCCCGGCCAAGTCTTGATTTTTGAAAAAATATATTCTTCAACCTTCTTCTTTTTCAGAAGTTTCTTGATTATTTTGGCCCTTTGCATTTTCTTAGAAATTTTAGAATCATATTGCCAAATTACACACACACACACACGCAATCCACAAACAAAAAGATTAAATAGCCCTATAGACTCAACACAATTCCAATCAAAATCTGACCAGATTGTGTGTATGTGTGAGTGTGCGTGTGTGTATGTGTGTATGTGTGTATCTATAGAGATCTTATACATCTTTTGATACATTTACTTCTAACCATTGGGTTACTCAGGTATCTGCTTTTGATAGTTCACTGAGCTATATTTTAAAGTTTTGTGCACATTTCTAAACATATTGTATGTTTTGAAAAATATTTACAGTAATAAATATTTAAGAAATACATTTACAATAGATCAAAAACTAGCAAATTTCTAGGATTAAATATAATGAAAGATGTGCATGATCTAGATGCAGAGATACCATGCCATTTTAATTGTGTTGTCTAATCTATTTCTACTGTGAGGAAAGCTATTAATTTTTGTATATTGAGCTTATGTTAGGCCACCTTCTAAATTTATATTTAGTTTCTTAGTTTTTTTCTAAGAAAATGATCAAATAACCAGGAACAGTTCCTTCTGTTCCATTCTGACATGTACTGCCAGTTCCTTGCTGAATAGAAGCAATGATACACATTCATGTTTGGCTTCTGGCATTATTTGGAAATGTCTGTGATGTTGCATTCAGTAAGTGATATTTGTTGTAGTTTTATGGCATAAAATTTTTCTCAAGTTATGGGAGTTTTCTTCCATTTCCAGTTTATTACTAGTTTTCCCTTCAACCTCCAAGGAATTTTTTTTTCTTTTCTTTTCTTTTTTTTTTTTTGAGACAGGGTCTTGCCCTGGTGCCGTGGCTAGAGTAAAATGGCATCATCATAGCTCACAACAACCTCAAACTTCTGGTCTCAAGCGATCCTCCTGCCTCAGCCTCCTTATTAGCTGGGACTATAGGTACGCACCACCAAGCCTGGCTAATTTTTCTATTTTTAGTAGAGACAGGATCTCACTCTTGCTTAGGCTGGTCTTAAATTCCTGGGCTCAAGCGATCCTTCTGCCTTAGCCTCCCAAAGTGCTAGGATTATAGGTGTGAGCCACGGTGCCCAGCCCCTGCTAAATTTTTTGTTTTAAATCAGACATAGGAAGACTATGGCCTAGAGGCCAAATATAGTCTGTCGTGTTTAGGGCCCGTGATCTAAGAGTGGTTTTTGCATTTTTAAAAAGTTGGAGGGAAATGAGAAAAAGAATATTTCCTGACATACAAAACTTACGAATTTCAAATATCAGTTTATTCATAAATAAGTTGTATTAAAACATTACCATACTCATTTGTTTACATGTTGTCTATGGCAGCTTTTGTACTATAATGGCAGAATTGAGCAGTTGCAACAGACCGTATGGCCTGCAAAGCCTAAAATATTTACTATCTAGCCCTTTACAGAAAAAGTTAGGTGACCCCTGTTTTAGAACACAATGGTGATATATTTACTTTCTTTTTCCCTACTAAAGTATCAGGTAGGATGCTTTCTGCCACAAGCAACAGAAATCGTGACCCAAACTTGCCTGAAAAATAAAAATATTCGTTATCACAGATAGACAACTTCCAGACATGGTATGATCATTCTTCATGTCTGATTCTCTTGGCTTTGCACCCCCATGTTAGTTTTCATTGTCCTTAAGTGTCCTCACTGCCAACACAGACTCTTTTAAATTTGATTCTCTTAGTTTCTAAAAATGAATAAAACTTACTTGAAAATGTATGTGGGATTATTTGCAGAGATCCATTCCCAGTGATTTTGTATAGTATTCACGCTTTAGCAAATGTAGTTTAAGAACATATTAATTTGACTTCCAATCACATGATCAGGTGGGTGGATCGTATTGGTGCCATATGCAATAGTCATGTCCCAGGCATCAATGACACCCACGTTGAGATCTTTGAAAATGTCCTTCATGATGAGATATTGAATATAACCATGGAAGTCTCCAAACCTCTCTGTGTCTAAGTGCATCTCCCTGATGTTTTCTGTCTTAATGATCACTTTTGTAGCCGGGCTTCTTAGGAATAGTCGTTCAATAGCCTTTCGGACACTGAGGGCCCTACGAAGGAAGATGTCAATGGGGAAGGGTCTGAAGTGCTGGCCAAAGGTGATGACAATGGCTGTGTTTTTGTCACCTGGTAGCCGGTCAATTTCCCGAGGCATATAATCGTCATCTATCAGAGAGTAGAGTTGAAAAGTGACAAAAGGATAGCTGTGTTTTTTCCACTGAATCTGAGTGTGTCTTTCTGCATCCAGAAGCACATGTTTCTTAAACATTCCGGTTTCATGAAGATCAAAAAATTTTAGTGCTGGCAAAAAATAAATAGATCTTTTAACTAGAAGGTAATGATTAATATTTTAAAAAAGAATATCCTATCATTTAAAATACTCACCCACCTAGATTACCCACCTGGATTATTTCTGACTGGAGCATGCTTACCCTTTAGGGTAGATTACCAGTTCATATGTGACATGTCAATCAAATGTAAAACTTTTATTGGAATTTTTAAAGAGGAACATTTCGTATGAAACAGAATAAAATATATTTTAAATTAAAAGGCTCAAATTCAGAAAGGTAAGTGAAGTCAAAGACAGCTCAAAAGAGAGAATACAAACCTCATTAAAAGTATCAGCTGAATTTCTAAAATAACATAAAAATAACTACATACTTTTTACAACTTTGGGTAAGTAGTAGATCCACTGACGCAGTGTAGAGTCTCCCAGGAGGTAAATGAGTTTTCCTTTCAAACAGTCATTTATCTTAATTGTGTCTAACTGAATCTGGTTGCAAAATGTTGTTATCCACCTTCCTTTTAAAGTATAGCCACCAGGGACAGGAGTCTTCATTCCAACTTGGCATTTCGCTGTCATCTTTTCACTCTCTGATAACAGAGACACTTGTGGTAAGTGGTTTTATTGGCACAAGTTAAACATCCAGCCTTCCTTCTTGGTCCTGCCCCTTCTTGATCACTTTCTCCCTTCCTCTAAATCCCATTTCCTATTCCTACTTCTGTCCCTTCCTAGTACTTTTCAGGGATCATCAGCTTTTTTTTAGGCACTTCTGCTCATTCCTGTGAGAGATACTGAGTCGTCTTGCCTCCTTGCTATTCATTTTCTCCCACGTTGGGTCATTAGCTACGTCTTGATGTTCTGTCCTTTCTTTGCCATCCCCACTGATTCTGTGCTGACTTGGGTGTTACCATTCTAACCTGAATGATATTAGTGACCTGCTAGTTGGTGTCCTTGTATCAGATCACTTACCTTTGTTCCATTAATGAAGGAATAATCTTAATTTTTCCAGGTTTAAAAAATGGCATAAAATATAATAATATGTGCACATTAAAAAAAAACTTTAAACAGTGTAAAATACCTGGCTTGACTTAATGTTTTTATTTTTTAAGTAAGACTTTGCTAAAAGCAACATGCAGCATCTAATACAGACCAATCTTCTGAGATGTTCCAGCAAGTTCCCCTAGCATTACAGGCTCTGTTGGTATATGGTCTGCCTTCCCAGGTACCACAGTAGCTGTGCCCCAAATGTTTTGCCGTGCCATTGCAAAGGTCATCAGGTAAAAAGAGTTATCAGGTAAAAAGAGTTATCAGTTAACAGGACATCATATTAAATTTGAATTACTTCTAATAAGGAATAATTTTTTAGTGTAAGTATGTCCCCTGCAATATTTCCCCTTATTGTATACAACAAAGGCAATTAGAAGTTACTCAAATTTAACTGATTCTCTGTATTATTGTTTCCTTGAGTCTGGCAACACTACCCATGATCTTTATGGGATTTCTCTTTCTCATTCTCTGACTACAGATATCCCTCAGGGCACAGTCAAATACTAACTGTACATAAGCCTTTTGCCTTTTTACTGTCTTCATGGAGTTGGTAGGTGGAATGTCTTTCACATTGCATGCTTACTGAGCATTTATTTTTCTCCATTTGCCCATCATGCCTCACATCTATTAGACTCTCAACAAATGTTTGCTGAATAAATGAATTAATAGTGGCAATAAATCATTATAAGTTAGAGTAGATCTCATAATGCACATTATTGGTAAACTAAGATGGACTTTATAGGAAGGCATTTTAAAGCTAAAGTAGTATAAAAACTCTTTCATAAGTAATGTAGTTTTGGGTTTGTCAATAAAACATTTAATAAGATGGAAACCACATAAAATTGGTAAGTGCATCAAATAAAGTTGGGAGGTTATGCCAACAGAGAATTGGGAAACCAAAACCAAAATGTTCCCACTCTGAAGCTATGGGTATCCATCAAAGACATTCACACCATGCCTCAGACCCTAGGGAAATGAACTCCCAGGTTTAAGTATGAATGTAGGCTACTCCTATGTATTTCTCCTCTTGGATAAATCAAGATGAAATCTGTTATAAAGAGAGTTTGAAACAATTTCCTTGAGTGAATTTCTCTCTTTAAAGTCCAATGTGATTGACACCATAGACACCTGCTAGGAATTGCATTCCAGGAAAACCAAAGTTGCTAGGGTTAATGCTGGTAAGATTTCCTCTGCATAAGACACATACCAAGCAGCACCTACCACAGGACAGAGCAGACTTACTGTTACATCGGGAGACATCAATGTGTTTTAGGTCTTTCATCATTTCAGCTCCCACTTTGGACCTTCAAAAAATAGGATAATAAATTAGCCTACTGTCCACATAACACAGGTAACATGAATAACCTGCTTGCGACTAAAGGATAATTTTTAATTGTATATAACTGAAAGTTATTATTTTTGTAAATTTTAGATATATATTAAGCATTTTAAGTGAATTAGGATTTTGGAAGACTTTCTACCCTGCTGAGAGCACCTGAAATCAGCAGCTCTCCTCATTTGCCACATGCAATCAATGTGTCCTGAAATTTTAGATTAAAAATGTTTTATAATTTGCAAGTTCTCTTCTCTCCTTCTGCTTCCACATCACCTATTCAAGTTTATAGAATATTTTTCTTGGATTACTATGAGTCTCTAGTTGGCCATGGCCAGCCTGTCTCAGTTTCATCCCACCTGAATTCTTCAACACAACTGCCAGAGCATCCTTTCTAATTGCAACTGCAAGTGCATTACTGTTTAAAACATTTAATCATCTTCTTGTCACTTATCTAAGGAGTCCAGGCTCCTTAGTGTGGCATGCAGACCTCTTATCACAGGGCCTCTGCTTCCCTCTTTGTCCACATTTCCTGCTATGGTTACCTTCAATTTTTCCCACAAACTTGCTTTCTGAAGATTGTACACTTTGTGAAGGAAGGGAATGCATTTGCCTGGCCCGCTGCTGTGTCCTTAATATCTATCAAAGTGGCTGGCCGAAAGTAGTGTTCATTCTGATGTATGAATACACATACACTGCATTTCTTTTCTCCCGTTGATGAAAGACCACCCAACTCTTCCTGCTTGAAAGCTCTTCCCCTCCCTTTGACTCATTCTTTGTCTCAAACCCATGTGCATGTGTATGTAAGTGGAGGAAGGCAGAAAGGGGTTACAAGGGAGAATGGGGACCCAGATGCCAGGCACAACAGGTATAAGTGATACCTGATTCTCTACTATGGATATCTCTTCAGTTCCAATTCCGAGAAGGGAAAGAATCAGCATGTTTTCATCCTTACTGGGATTTAGGCTAAGTATGGTTGATGGGTAGGAAGAGATTTGGGAAGCTGTACCATTAGAGGTAAGAGGAAAGGAACAGAAACCCAACTGTGCTTTTACTTACTCAGAAAAGACTCAGAGATTATAGATTAAGAGCCCAAACTTAGATAACGAGGTGAGATTTTGGAATGCCTGTTATTTTTCCATGTTTGCTGTCTACTCTTATGTCCTCCTAGCATATTTTTTGAAAGCTTAAGGGAAAAAAAACAAACAAAACCTCTAAGCTTGACTTTGAAAACTGTTAAGAAAGGGATTGCTGAGGACCTAGTATTCTGTTCTGTCATCAAGCTTAGGGAAAATAAATCCTCAGGGGGAAAAATATGGATATTGGCAGAATGCAAAGGAAGAAGGAAATGGACTGGGCCCCCCGAGGCTTACAGAAAGTTAGCGAATGAGCAAAAGACTCTGAAACTGATAGGTGCCTTAGAGCTTGGCACACAGTTCTGGGATTTGTGGTGGCAGATAGTTACCCTTTGCAAATCCTCAGAGTGGCCTTTGAAGAAACCCTGATGATTCATTCTAATCAATGAAGTGTTTTCCAGCTCGGTGGAGAACAGAGAAATCAGGAAGTGAGCATCTGTTTGTGAGCGGGGGAGAAAGACATGGTGTTTATGCAGCCGTGATTGATCCAAGAAACATGCTTACACCCTGGTTTGTGGAGGCCTGTTCATCCAGGGGCTTACAGTAATTACTAGGTCACAACTTGGGGAGCAGGACTCCTCCACTCTGAGGAATATCTGATCATGAGATCAACTGGAGATGACCAGTGGGTGTTGGCTTTTTTGAAAGATTTACTCAGGCTGCAGTGTGGAGAATAGATTAGAGGGGAGGTGATTGCTGGGAGGGAGACCAGTTGGGAAGCTGTTATAGGTTATCCAGATGAGAGGATGGTGGTCTGAACTTGGACAACAGCACTGGGCATGGGGATAAATGGATGAATGCAAACGATATTTAAGAGGGAGAATCAACAGACTATGATACAGCAGGTGAAGGAGCATGGATGTTATCATACAGTTATCAAAGAATCTTTTCTGAGTGGAACAGCTATGAACACATAGCAGAATAGTTTTCCACGGAACGTATTTTATAAAACCTGTAGGTCTATAGTAGAAGGCACGACTGAGTCTGACAATACCAGTCACCCTGGGGAAGATCAGGCATCTGTATTACAGAGTTCCACCTTGTGCAGCCCTCTTTTATTGAACATTTCAGTGAAAATGCAAAGTTTGGCATAGAGTCATGAACAGGAGGCCCCATGAAGACACCACATGTCTGAGTAGAGGAGGCATCTGAGAGGGTCATGCTCAGTATTGAGATGGGCAATGTAACTCTACCTGGGGGAACCTCTCAGTGTATTGAAAAATACACTTACCTGTGAAAAAGGCCTTTTTCCTGGACAGTAAGATAAGAAATTTCTCGATTCCTGGTGGTCATGTGGGTCAGGGCCTCACAGGGCAAGTGTTGAGGCTTCACACAGTAGAAGGCTTCTTGGTCTCTATCGTCCAGGTATTTACAGAGTTCAGCACTTGAATTTAGGGTCAGGCCACATTCAGTGAAGACATAGGAGGTCACATTAACAAATTTACCTTTGAAAATAACTTTATCATAGCCTTGGTTCCTTGCCCTCCAGAGAGCCGACACCCCCTCACTGGGGTGGATGAGCAGGAGAGACAGGAAGACTCGGCCCTCCCAGAACAGAGTGAAGCTGACAAGGTAGGTGCCATTGTTGAAGTCGGTCACCTTACCCGCAGCGCCTGCCTTCAGGGTTGGGGAGGACATCCTGGCCCTCAGGAAATCCCCGCCATATTGCTTCCTGCATCCCAAGTGGTCCCTCACCTCCAGCAGGATGTGCAGCTGGTCCCCCCTGCAGTAGGTGTGTTGAGGGTTGAGGATGCTGGCTGTGCTGTGTACGGCGCTGGTGGTGGTGTTCTCGTGGGTGAAAGGTCTGGGTGGGATCTGCTGGTCTAGTTTCTCCACGATTGCCTTTATTCTCAGCTCAGTCTCTGATGGTGGCTTTAACGGACTCACTGGTGTTTTGGGGAATGAGGACTTCGTGGAGGTGTTCCAGTGACAGAGAGAGATGGATAAGTTTAGAGTAGACCAAAGCTGAAATGACAAGAAATGTGACATTCTATGAAATGAACCTATTCCTAGTAATTTTTTACTTATTTTGAGTTTGAATATTTATTTATGTATTATTATCAATATTATTTAAACTCTCTGACAATTTTGAATAAAATGTAAACATTTATATTTTTACCTGAATATTTCAGAAAATGCCTGAAGAGTTGTAGATAAATATGTTATATCCAAAATGTATAGCTCCGAGAATACTTATGAGTAACAAATTGGGGCCATTACATTTAACTCTTCCTTTTCATATACACCTGACATCCAATAACTAATTTCTGTTACTTCTACCCCTATGTATCTTTTTCCTATGTCTAACAATCTTTTCCTCCCCAACTGTCTCATAGTCCAAGCCACCATCATGTATGTCTTGGATGTAGCAGTCACCTGAAGGATGAAGGCTGTCCTCAGACTTGATGAAGACAGTTCTGCTTTCTCTCCATTTACTTTCCTCCCCTGTAACTAAATCAGTCCTTCTAAAGCAAAACCATATTTCTGTCCCTGCTTATACCCCTTCCATGGCTTCTCATAACTCTTGCGGGTGAAGTCTGTTCCTAACATGGCCTTAGGCTGTGGCCTATTTTTAACTCTCTATCTCTTGCCACTTTCTTGCACCAGATGTTTTGATAAGACTATTTTATTTTTAGGAGCTGACCTTCCTTTCTTTCAGCTCTTGCTCTTCACTAATGCTTTCTTTTCTTTCTGGACTGCTAGCCACCTCCACATTTCCCCCAAACCACCTAGACATTCTAAACTTCTAATTTAGAAATTGCTACAGCCTTACAGGTCACGTATACTTTTAGCACGTAGTGTTAGATGGGAATTCAAATTTGGGGATTTCCAAACCTTGTTGATAGTCAGAAGCACCTGCCAAGCTTTTCTAAAAACATGGATTCTCAAGCCACGATCCAGATCACCTGAGTCATAATCACTATGTTGTCCTGGAGAATATGTTTTCCAAAAGCCTCACAGGCAACCCTGTGATCAGCTAGGTTTGAGAACAGGGGTTATACACCAGGGATTGCCAACACTCTCACACTTTAAAACACATGTCAAATTTTTAAAAATGCATGGCCAGGCTGCACTGCACCCCACCGTCATCAATAAAACCCTGGTGATTGGTAACAAAGTGGCAGAGTAAACCAAAAGAGACAAGAAATAAGGAAGTGAGATATCATTTAAAATAAAGATGAACAGAACCCAAGTTGAATCTTTGGAAAAACTTTGGAAAAGCCAAAAGACAAATCTTTGTCAAAGCCAACCAAGAAATAGAGAGAGATGTAAATAAATAAAATCCCAAATAAGAACCTTTTTATATATCTCTGGAAAATACTAAAAAACCTTAATTTTTATAATAGAAAATATTTAATAGTGTCACACATATATTTATTTTCCTTTTTTTCTTTTTAAATTTCAGAATATTATGGGGGTACAAATATTTTGGTTACATATATTGCCTTTGTACCACACAAGCCAGAGCTACAAGTGTGCCCATGCCCCAGACACTGCGCTCTGTACCCATTAGTTGTGAATTTACCCATCCCCTACATCCCTCTCCCACCTGCCTGACACCTGGTGAATATTATTTCCATGAGTGCACATAAATGTTGATCAGTTAGTACCAATTTGATGGTGAGTACATGTGGTGCTTGTTTTTCCATTCTTGTGACACTTCACTTAGAAGAATGGACTGTAGTTCCACACAGGATAATACAAGAGGTGCTAGTTCACCATTGTTTTTTATGACTGAGTAGTACTCCATAGTATACATATACCACATTTTATTAATCCACTCATGTATTGATGGGCACTTGGGTTATTTCCACATCTTTGCAATTGTGAATTGTGCCGCAATAAACATTTGAGTGCAAATGTCTTTATTATAGAATGACTTTTTTTCCTTTGGGTAAATGCCCAGTAGTGGGATTGCTGGATCAAATGGTAGTTCTATTTTTAGTTCTTTGAGGTATCTCCATATTATTTTCCATAGAAGTTGTACTAATTTGCAGTCCTACCAGCAGTGTATGAGTGTTCCTATCTCTCCACATCCATGCCAACATTTGTTGTTTTGGAATTTTCTGATAAAAGCCATTCTCACTGGAGTTAAACGATATCTCATTGTGGTTTTGATTTGAATTTACCTGATGATTAGAGATGTTGAACAATTTTTTATATGTCTGTTGGTCATTATTCTGTCTTCTTTTGAAAAGTTTCTGTTCATGTCCTTTCCCCACTTTTTAATGGAGTTGTTTGATTTTTTTTGGTGATTTTCCTAAGTTCTACATTCTAGTTATCAGCCCTCTATCGGATGTGTAGCTTGAAAATATTTTCTCCCATCCTGTAAGTTGACTATTCACTTTAATGATAGTTTCCTTGGCTGTGCAGAAGCTTTTTAATTTGATCGGGTCCCATTTATTTATTTCTGTTGCTGCTGTGATTGTTTTTGGGGTCTTCTTCATACATTCTTTGCCTAGGCCAATGTCTATAAAACATTTTCTTCTAGAATTCTTATGGTTTCATGTCTTAGGTTTAAGTCTGTTATCCATCATGAGTTGATTTTTGTAAGAGGTGAGAGGTATGGATTTAGTTTCCTTCTTCTGCATGTGGCTATTCAATTTTTCCAGCACCATATATGGAAGAGGGATTGTTTTCCCCAGTGTATATTTTTGTCTGCTCTGTTGAAGATCAGAAGAAAATATGAGGATGGTTTTATATCTGAGTTCTCAGTCTTGTTCCAATGGTCTATGTCTCTGTTCTTGTGCCAGTACCATGCTCTTTTGGTTACTATAGCTTTGTAGTATAGCTTGAAGTCTGTTAGATTGATGCCTCCCAATTTGGTCTTTTTGCTTAAAATTGCTTTGGCCATATGGGGTCTTCTCTGTTTCCATATGAAGCATATAATTATTTTTTCTGAATCTGTGAAAAATGATATTGGTATTTTAATAGGAATTTCATTGAATCTGTAGATCACTTTAGGTAGTATAGACATTTTATTTCTGAGCTCTGTCTTCTGAGAGGGCCTAGAAACAAAGACATTCCAATAGTAACAAACAAAGCTGGTGCCTATATCTTGGTTTCTAATACCATTCTCCAATAAAAGAAACCAGGGCCCCTTGGGCAGATGGCTGACTCTAGGGATGGGACAAGGAATATACAAGATGAGCCTAAAGCATCTTGTGCTGGAAAGTAAGGAATGCTCAAAAGAAGCAAAAAAATAAAGGAACACAGGAGGCAACTGAAAGAGCTCTCAATGGCCAAAGCTGGAACAATTTGAACAACAAAATAATGTACTGTTGAATTCTAACCCAAAGTACATAATAAATATCCATGAGTTCACACCAATGTAAATAAATGTTTGAATAAACAAAGATATGGGGGATAATGGACAAATATTCTGTACAGAAGAATTCCGAATAACGTATGTGGATGCTCCTACTCAATGAGACAGAACAGAACTGCCCAATCTTTAAGTGTGCAATTGAACTAGTGACCTCCTTCTAAACAGTACAGTGTAGAATGGGTTGGGGAGAAGCAAGAGTAATCTTACAGTGCAGAAACGTGACAAACACTAGCTTGGCCAGGTGATCAAGGTCAACATCATCAGATAAGTCATGTTGATGGCATCATCTTTGATATGACGTGATGAGTGGAAGACCACTTTGCCTCTGTGGTCTTCCTTCCTCAAACCCATAAACTATATTCAACCATGAGAAAAACAACAAACTAAAATGGAAGCACGTTCAACAAAATACCTGACCACTATTCCTTGAAACTGTCAAGGTCATCAAAAACAAAGAAAGTCTGAGAGAAGGCTAAAGAGAAGTGACACATGTAATATGGTACTCTTGGTGTGATCATAGAAAAAGGACATTAGGTAAAAATTAAGGAAATCTGAATAAAATATGGACTGCATATAATGTTAAAAATAAGGGAAATTGGGTGCATGGTATAGAGGAATTTCTTGTAATATTCTTGCAATTTTTCTGTAAATTTGACACTATTCTAAAATAAAAAGTTTATTAAATCTTAAGAAAATTAGAGATTGGACAATAATATACCAGGCTAAAAAAAAGCAAAGAGGCTGGGCACGGTGGCTCACACCTGTAATCCTAGCACTCTGGGGGGCTGAGACAGGAGGATCGCTTGAGCTCAGGAGTTTGAGACCAGCCTGAGCAAGAGTGAGATCCCATCTCTACTATAAA